CCATGAAAACAGATTGTTTTTCATGTATAATCAACTTACAGAATGTGTTACAAAGTAATTCCCACTACCAAAAAAAAGTCAAATGAGGGGAGTCTATTTTGTCATTGTACACTTACATGAATACAAGGAGAAAGAAAGGATCCAGAAGGAAAAGAGGACTATAGTCTCTTATCTATATTGTTATTGTAATCTACTCCTAAGAATTCTTGTGATTTTATTCCTATCTAAATGTTAAGATGCCTCTTGTAAACTTTACTAGCAAACAGTTTAAAAGCATAGATTTCTTAGTGACTGCTGAAACAAGTTGCATCAACATTTGAAAGCTTTCAATTCCAGAGTGAGTACTAAAACATAGCAGCCTTTATTTTATTTGTCCATTATTGGTGCTACAAATACTGAAAACATTTTGGGCTGATCTAAGCTCTTAGCATGTCATTTGGCTGAACCAGTGCATTTAATCTTTAGTTTAAGCTTCATTTCTCATGAGAGCACTTCAAAATTACGAAACTTATAGAAGGCTTTGCAATTATCCGATCATACCATTTTTTTCACCCGTTTTAATTCTTGATCTGACGATTCCTTCATTTTAGCATAAAATTCTAGAAGTCAATTCCCAACTTCCATGGAATTACATTATTTCATTTCCCTAGGTTGTCTGAAATCTCGAGCTTCGTAGGAAAGACAAGATGTAATGAGATTCGAAGTACCTCACTTATACAATTAATTTGTCAGTTACACATGATAACTTCTGTATCTTGCAGGTAACTAATTAGGATGGCAGTCTTTTCAGAATCTTCAACTTGTCCTAGCACCTGCAATCCCGAGGTGGCAGGTCTCTTCTTCCAACCAAAGTTAAGATACTGTGCGGTGTCAGGATGTGAAATATGTTTGCAATAGCTGAAACTAGGAATGCAACGACAAAAGATTTGCTTTGTATTGATTATGAGTAAGATTTACCATATAATGAAGCAATTAGTAATTACTTCTCATGAATGTTTTTCTCACATCCTCGATCTTTTCTGAAGAAAATTATGTCTGATTTGCAACTCTTGCAAGTTAAATGTTCATGCTTTCTAATAAACATGTCCACCTGTTTGTAATATAAGTGTTTTGTTTTTGTTTCTTTTTTTTTTTTTCATACCAGATGTTGCTGGTGGAAAATGCGCTGGATGCAGAAAGAATGTTGCCCTCTGGGGTCTCTCTCAAGCCCACATGTAATACAAATGCAGTGTGTATGGGTCTTTATCAAATTCCTCTTCCTTGAGAAAGTTTAAATTTTTTTTAGAAGGGAACATGAAAAAAGTCTTTGAAAACAAAAAAACAAAAACATTTCAATACAGTTACCTGCATATAGTGCACAGAGAAATAGCTTTACAAAATAAAAAGTAAAAGAAAGATACATTTTAAAAAGTAAATTGAAAATTCTAATAATAGTTTAACTTTCTACATTTGTTATTAATACCTTCATTTTTTCAACGTTGTATACAACAAAATAAAAATATCAAATTACAATCATATGCTATGTTTCACATCCATTGCTATAAAAAGAGTTATTCTATCAATTTGCAATTGCATATGAGTCACAACCAGTGAGCCTTCAACACCGACTACATTGCCTAATATTTTTTTGAACACGTCATATTAACTTCAGGGAATAAGAAGATGAGGCTACTACTCCACCCAAATTATTTTCAATTTTAATAAGCCTTTATGTTTGAAAATTATATATATATATATATATATATATATAATTTTTTTAATTTTTGGGAATTTTAATAGTTGAATATTTATATTTATGTTTAATGATGAATAATTTATATAATCAATGAAATGCTAAAAAAAACATTACTAACCTATCCAATAAGTTGTAATAAAGTTATATTTTGACACTTTTTAAAGGATCATGTCATCATTCATTTATATTGTCACAAATTATCTTTGTAATTTATTACTTCTTATTAGAATCTTCAAATAAAATGTCCTTTGGCATTTTAGATATATTAAAGCTAAGTTTCTATTTTATAATATTCAATTTATGAAAAGAAAAAGTTTTGTATTTTACTATAGATTCCAACTCATTTGGTTTTAGCAATACAGACACTTTTTAAAGGAAAATGTACAGCATTAACATGATGCATTATTAAAATAAATAAATTTTAATGTATAAAAAAAATGTAAAATTTACATCATAGTTTATATTGAATCTAAGTAACTTTTTTTTGGATATGGCTTAAACTAGTGCATAAAAAAATTATACTTTTTACTAAATGTATGATAAAAAATTTAAAATATTTTATAAGAAGAAATTACAAAATTATTACTAATAATAATAAAACTGGTTATTAGTTATAAAATACTATAAATGAATTCAAATGAGTTAATCTTTTAGTTTTTTGAAATAATAATTAGAATATTATTTATTCCAATATAAATAAAAACACTCATGTTTTAATGGATATTTTAAAATTTGTAAATGTGTGTTTCCATAACACACTTTAATCTTTATAAAGTTGACATGCATCTTGTGTATTTATTTGGCATTATCAAAAATTCATTATAAGTAATATCAAAACTAGGATAGGTGGATCATTATTTAGTTTCTCTACCAAATAATAAATGAATTCTATATATATATATATATATATATATTTATATATTTAAAATTATATATTAGTAATTAAACTTATTACATCAATAATGCTACTTGTGATTAGATAACTCAAACTTAGAATCTAAATGGTAACATTTTAGACAGGATACAAAAAATTAAACTATCCTAAAAAATGTTATAGCCTTAGCCATATTAACACATAATAAATTATTGGTTGCTAAAAAAGTTTTTAAGAGAATTTTTTTTGTTTGTATTGTTGACTTCATTACAGTCAATTTTATATATTTTAGTCTTCCTTAACGAACTTAATATTTAGACCTTTTAAAACACACAATAATAGTTAAGTCTTATTATTATTATAAATACACTTATCTTAAAATTAGAAAATACTAATAGTGCTTTCAAATGTGTAGACTATGTAAATATTTATTTATTTATTGAAGTAAATCAATAACCATATGTGTTCTTAAGTGTTCTTAAACATGTATTCAAAAATATTATCTTATTTTGATAGTGAGTTTTTCTATTCGATGGAATTGCATTAAGAAATTTTTATACATCCATACTCATATATATATTCTACACATACTCATAAATATATATACATTCATTCTTACACACAATTTGGAATTGAACATTATTACAAATTTGACTAGTATTAATTGAATCTTCTAATTGATAGTTGTTTACAAGAATAAACTTGGTGACTTACAGTTACAGGGTTAGTTCAATTTGAATTGTTTACATAAAAATTCATTTATTGTACATATATTTTATTCAAATCAATTGGAATCATAAAATAAATATTGTAAGTTAAAGATTTGGATGATTAAAAAGATGGATAGTAAAATAAGTAAATTTTATTAGTCTTCACAGTTAGAAATGTAACATGTGTTATTGGCCAATAAGAGTTACACAACAAATAATTTTAAAACAAAGATAAGACAATGTCCAACTCTTATAACATTGGTGTATTCATTTTATTGCAGAACTGCACATGGATGGATGTTTTATGTTTTCTTTTTTATACAAAATAAATAGAGATGGAAAAAGTGGCATTATATAATAAGCAATAGATGAAGAAATATATGGTACTTGTGTGCAAACTATGGATGATTTAGTAGCACATTAATGTCCAATTGGATGTATTAGAAGCTAGTTATTGTTGTTTTTTTGTTTTGTTTTGTTTTTTCTTTTTTTAATTATTTCTGCAAACAAACACTTACATATTTTGTGCAAATTAATGTTGTTTAGCAAATTATCATATAGAAAGATATTGTAGATAACTATTTATTTTAAAAGTTTATGCCTCTATCTGCCCAATTTATAAGTTTATTCGTAATGGCTCTTTTCTAATAAGATTTGCTAACACAAACATCAATTTTTTATGGCAAATTTTGATCACGTAAAGTTTATATATATATATATATATATATATATATATATGTGTGTGTGTGTATATACACCTATGTAAAAATATTAGTAGATTTTTGTAGATGTAACATTCTCTAACATTCAAATTTAAATATAGCTGCCTAATATTCCAATATGTTTTTACTTTGTCAATTTTCATAAAAGATAAAACAAAAAAAATTATTGTTAGAGATGAAAACTTCTACTCATAAATATAAATATCACATGGACATAATACAATTAACAAGCACTAACAAAACACAAGTATTTGTATCACTCTACCATAGGATTCTTAGTTTTTTATGAAGAAAACGTAGTAGTTAAAGTAATGAAAATTTAATCCTAAGTTCATTTTTAGGATGTGTGGAATAACAATAAAAAAAATCTTTCGCAACATGCTTACACGAAGTACCATTACCCTGTTCAAGATAAACCCTTATTGAGGTTGTATAAGGTTAATTATATTAAATATATCAGAGTGAAGGCATTTGCACCGTCTCTAGTCACCCGTATCAATTTAGGGCCATAGATTATTATTTTTGAACAGCTTGCCGTTGCAGCGTATCAGGTCCATGTCGGATACGTATCTAGTAAGTTCACTGTGGAGCATATCAAATTATTCAATAAGATGAAATCGAGTGAGATTTGTTACGTTTAATAGGATCAGCTTCCGCACTCAGCCCCAGAAGATTCGAATGCAAATTTCTACGGCAGGATAAATAATCACTTTGCCGGCATGGAATATTTAAGAGCTGTCAAGAGAATGTGTACGACATTGAGAACATGTAATTTTTGTTTTCCTTGTGAATACAGGAAACATTACTTCAAATCGGTTCAGTATGGAGAGTCCAGCCTTCATTCAAGAGTAAGCGCATTTTGGACACTGTATGTACCACATATGCACTTGATGTAGTTATAGTGATTCAGAAGTGACTCTAATCATGGAATATTCAGCATCACGATACGAAGATTTGGGTGGACAAATTCAATTCTTAGCATATAAGAGTAAATTAATTACACTAGAGTAAGATAAGCCAGAGCGAGCAAAAACCCAAAGTTACAGAAGTGAGCAAGTGAGATGAAATTCTGGACAGCAACCACAATTCCCACAAGCTGTAAGCTTGAAATCAAGCAGGCCGCAGCTTGTCGTCACAAACCTAGATTTCTACATTGACAATGTATGACACTTCTTTCGTATCCAGGGGATGCGAAAAGGGCCTTGTCAACAAGATGTCAGAATCCTTCAATGGAAGGGCGCAATGACGCTCCATATGAGCAACCATGAACAAGAAGCCAGATCCTTTCAATGAATTTCTGGCTGTAGGAGTTCTGTCCATAACAAGAGCAACCACGTATCTAATAGGAAAGAAACAGAGAGAGAGAGATTGCAGATATCTACTTGGCCATCATCATCTTCACAAACTCTTCGTAGTTGATCTGACCATCTCCATCGACGTCAGCCTCGCGGATCATTTCATCTACCTCGTCGTCAGTGAGCTTTTCACCAAGGTTGGTCATGACGTGCCTCAGCTCGGCAGCAGAAATGAACCCATTTTGGTCCTTGTCAAACACTCGGAAAGCTTCTTTCAGTTCTTCCTCAGAATCAGTATCTTTCATCTTTCTCGCCATTAGGTTCAGAAACTCAGCAAAATCAATGGTCCCGTTCCCATCAGCGTCAACTTCATTAATCATGTCCTGAAGCTCAGCTTCAGTTGGATTTTGCCCGAGAGACCTCATCACTGTCCCGAGCTCCTTGGTGGTGATGGAACCTAACACACAGAGATAAAGAATGAGGACATGTTTCTACGGTAACATGAACACCATGACACAAAGAACTGAATGCCTGAGACCATGTTGCATGCAGGAAGGTATGACGAAAATTTACTATCAAAGACATCACATGAGGATGTCGATGCCATGTCCCAGCATAGTTATAACGACCCGTCGAGACTAGTAGTCCACAACTGAACTCACCATCTCCATCCTTGTCAAACAGGCTGAATGCCTCCTTGAACTCAGCGATCTGCTCCTCTGATAGCTGTTCCACCATCTTGCTTCTCTGCACACAGCAGCCAGATTCACGGCCAGGACTATCAGACACAACGACTCTAGAGATATTATAGGCATGCGCTTAATGGATTCCTCATCCACGACCAAACTTCAACACAGTACATATCCACCAAGTATTTAAAGTTTACATTACAACGAATCCCCCACCTCGCAGGGTAGAGGCAGAAAACTCACACACGATACAAGGGACACCCAACTGAAAAGCTACGAATAATAATCGTAGTACACTATCATAAAAAATCCGGAACTACTGAGTCCGCCACAACGACAAAGGACACGAGCTAAGACAACAGATCCAGAACGACAACTACATGATCTCGCAAGTCCAACAATAAAGGAGACAGAACTAACCACCAAAACTGCCGAGAACCAGTGAACGCGGTTACCAAAGGGAGACAACCGACACAATCTAACTCTAAAACATCAACAACGCCCATACAAAGACATGAGGAGGGGCAAGAGCGTGCACATGAAGCGAACCTGCACGAAGAGGAGAGTGGAGCGATGCGAGTCGGGACGGGTCCGGGGCAGCAGACGGCGAGCGAAGGGCGTGAGCAAGACGGTTGCTGTGCAGGGGAGGCGAGGGAGTGAGGGTGACGATGAAGATGGAAAGCCCTAGGGTGGCGACACCTCTGGTGTTGCCCGTGGGTCCCAGTTACCGCGTTAACGGCCGAACCAACGCGGTTGCGGCACGCGCGGTCGCGCGGGAGTTTGTGAAAACGCGTCAGCACGGATCCTTCCTCCTTCCCCTATTGCCGCTTCCAATGTCCCCCCCCACCACACCCTCCCCTTCGCTCTCATCCACCGTTGGATCTGCATCTTTCGTTTAGAATCTTACAGGCTACCGCTGGATCTCAGCTTCCTTAACGCGGTTTGTGCCTCGGGATTCGTCAGGGATGTGGTTCGGAACCAAGGCAATGCCTACTCCGAGTCTGCCGTTGCCATTTGGTGGGAGAAATAGGTGTCTTCCTTGCCTGTTGGCTCGTTGCCGAACCTCGCCTTGTGGAACTCATTATCGGTAGTCCTGGTGCTTATTTGGAAATCACTGTTCTAATTTCTTACCGTCTTGGTGAGTGGTTAATCCTTGTTTATGTTTGGGTTCTCATCTTGAAAAATGCATGCTGTCATTTGTTACTCGTTATATTCGTTGTCGTGCTTATTGTTAGATTGCATTGAACTAGTCATGCAGGTGTTAAAGAGGTGGATGGAGTGGGTTGATATGCATGTGTATGTTTTTGCGCAGTATTTGCACATGATTTGTACTGGATTGTCTCCTCCAGGGACGAGAATTAAATCTGTAAAAAACAACGACTTTCAACAACAGCCACGAAAAACAAAAACAAATTGTGAAACACCAAATATTGTTAATCGGGTATTAATACTCATTTCATTAATTTCAATGACATGTGTAAAAGACAAGTGATAAAAACCCAAATTTCCAACCCACTATATGAACTAGAATGCACATTTCTGTGTTCAAAATACAATGTGATCTATCTAAGGTTTCCCGATTACTTGCTGAGGTAAAGCATTGTTGACTTTTTTGAGTCAATAGTCTCGTTTGAAGTGCTTCTCACAAACCCAAGAATAAGAAGTCAATTTAGGGCACCTACTGTAATGAAGGTGAGAGGTACCAAATCCGCATTTGTTTACTGAAAAAGGTGCCTCTTTGATTTGATCATTGGAGAATCACAAAGTCAAAACTGTGATGAACATTAGATGGGGGAAATTGCACTCACTATTTGGGCCGATTAGCTTCTGTCCTCTTTATCTCTGGTTGTCTTTCATGAGCTTTAAGAATGTGACGTAACTTTTGCTGCTAGTAAATGCCAAACATATTCACATTCAAGGGTGATGTATGAATCTAGCTTCCCATTAAACCACAATACTCAATCAGCAGCGATGACTTCACAAATAGTTCTTACTATTTCCAAGGATAACACTTACTTTAAGTATATCTAAAACTTTTAGTCAATCTGGCAAAGACATTACTTAGGTGATTAAGCACTGTAACAACGGTTAACAACTCTAAACAATGAAAACTTGGTACTGCTTGAACACCTGCAATTCCTTCAAGTTGACTGGTTATGATTGTGATCTGAGGTAAATGCAACGATAAACCTTTACCCAAGAGGTGGATTTGGTTATGCTTGAAGCAATGCTTGTAAATCGCTATCATCTTCCCTCCTGTGAATCGAGGAATACTTGCAGTCGGATAGGTTAAAAGAATCGGGTACTGTGAAAAGAGATGTTCATTGTCCCGCTCTGGATCATGGTGCTCATGGGCTTGGAATGTGGAGATGAACCTTGCAGTACTGAAGATTGTGAGGAGGAAGTGCGGATTGATGCTGGCTCCAATGAAGTCAAGTGGATGGCAATTGGCCTCCAGAATTTTGCACTCAGGATTCAACAAAACATCATTGATGTTTGAACTCAAAAGACAGCGAAGAAATAACAGCAAGCTTCAACCATACGCGTTCGTGAGCCGTTCTGATGATCATGCACTTCAGCAGTCCACACTATTTCTGTTGTGCAATTTCAATGTATATGTTCATATCTACCTATCTATCTATCTATCTATAAATAAATAAATAAATAAATATGAAATTGCGATACCTATGTAAATAAGAAAAGAGGAAGCACAAGCAACACACTGCGACAATCGCATGCGTGACGGATTCCTCTTTGTTTCACCGGTGTTCATTAATAGACCTTACACCAGTACATATGATGTCATCTCTGTGCCAGAACCATACCATGTACCGAAGGCTATAGTTATAGCTGGTGAGATTCAGTTGGATCTTAGGCGTAAGTGCTTACGCAAAGTGGCGAATGAAATTTCTGGTCAACTGGATTGCGCTCACCACGCTGTGAGTTGTGGTTGTTCGATCTGCGTCGCTGGCAAAGCTTGTCCAGGTGGCGTCATGTTCACAACGATGCTGTTATTCTTTGCCTCCCCGGAGCAAGTGAAACAAGCAGCTAAACTCTGTCATGCTTGGACTGCATCTCCTTCCACGTGCAGATTTCCAACACAGCTTCGCATGAGTTAGTCTTCTACAGAAGATTTCAACAAATTTCGAACGCACATGCGAACAAAGATACCACAATACTTAACAGAAGCACTGTGCATACTGTCAACTTGGCAACATCTGCCAAATAAAATCGCAATCTGCTGTAACTAAAACCATAGGATCCACATCTGTTCCGGAAACTACAAACCAAAATTCAACACTAATTACGATCAAGAGTTACTTTGATGACAATATCTCAGGATTGGCACAAGCATTGGTAGACTGATTCAAAAGCCGCCACTAAAGGTCCTTCAACGTTTTGTGATAGTCAAGAGCTCACCGGTATATTCCCTCACATTTGCCTCAACACACATTCTATCTCTTTCGCTGAAGATCGACGTCACGAGAAGATAGAATCTCAACGTTCAGGAAACAGGACTGAGATCGGAGCCACCACGTTCTCCCCCAGAACGAGGTCATTTAGCTTAAATTACATTTTGAACAAAACTAAAACTTAATGAGTTGCTACTTTCTAGATTCACACAAAAGTATAATGGGTTGTTATTGCAAATATTTAGAAAAAGTAAAGTGGATTAGAATGCAATTAGATAAAAAAGTAGAATTTGTATTAAACACATAATAATAACTTATTTGATAGAGGAGAAACCTCTACTAATATAACTCACCATGATAATTATCAAAACTCAAAAAATTATAGAAATAATTACATAATTGTAAAAATATTGACATAATATATTTTCTATATATAAACCAACTCTACAATATCTAAAACAAAGATTTTAATTTGATGTCTTTTCTACGATATATTGAGAATTTATATCTTTTAAGCTTTGAATCAAAATTTTGATTTCTAGCTTATACAAAATCTAAAATTAAAATAATATAAAAAATTATTGAGATACTTAAATGAATCACTTCAAATGGTCTATTAGAATAGTTTTTACAAAATTGCAATATAGATGATAGTTGTTTATGGACAAGTTTCAAAAATTAACCAAGAAAATAACAAAACACATGAATTAAAATTTGTATTTTATTAAACTTCAAAAAAAAATAGTAGGTTGAAAGTTGAGGTAATTAATTGAATTTACAACAAGAATAAATTTCTATTACTAACTGTAATACTTTTCTATTAGATGTTTTTTTGTTTGTTTAAAGATTCATTATTTTACAAAATCTTGTAAAATTTGCAAAGTAACAAAATAAAACCATTAAGTGGAATAATTTACAAGTCATGTATAGTGCAAGAAAAATAAATAAATAAACAAATAAACAAGTCATTTACATCCACCACACTTAATGATCTTAAATAGTTATAAAGAAACATTACCAAATATGCAACCTTAACATCAATCAACAAGCTTTAAGATTGATTTGATATAAATTAAATCAAGATAATAATATTTTATAAAAAATAAATATAGAATTTAATATTTAATACATATATTCTATAGACGATTGCAAATATATTTTTTCTTTCAATTGTAAACAATGTGGTATGGATGCCAAATGTTAGCTCTTTAGAATAGCTTTGTTTTTCTAATTAGTTCAAAAAAGTCCATTCAATAAGCAAATAGTATCAACAAAATATAAAAGGATTTTTTTATATCTTAAAAAGAACTATAGAACTTATACATAATATAGTAGCTAAAAAAAATATAAGATTCTAAGCATATAAGAAAAAGATATAGATATGGTGGTTTTTAAGTTAGTAACATATATTTTTGTTAAAAAGTTTGTTTCAGATGTATCTTGCAAAGAATCATCTAATCATGGTAAATAAGTACCAAAGGTTGTAGAAAGACTTCAGCAAATCAACATGACTTTAGTAATAGAAATCAATTGGTCTAAATTCTCAAATTGTTAAAAACACAAAATTATCTCGAAATTTTAATAACTAGTTTGAATTTAGTGAGCTTGGACTAATAATAATTACATCTTTAAAAATTTAATTCAATATTTTAAATTAACTCCTTAAACCTGTAATATTAGTTGATTAATAGTAGCCAAAAAGAAACACAAAACAAATCGTCAAAACTCAACAGCAAATTTATATAATTAAGAGGACTATAATGTTGATTAATATTTTTTTTATAATTATATTACATATCTTAAAGTGTATCTTAAGGCATTGGATTTTTTTTTATAGAAATAGATTATATTTGTGGCAAATATTTTACTAAATTTTAGGAGATGTAAAAAAAAACTTGGATTTTTTTGGCTCATAGATATAAATAATTTGGATGAAATTAAATAAAAATCCTATTAATAATAAAATACAAAATACCTTTATACTTAAAAGTTAATTTGGTTTTATCTTATTGAATATAGACACATGATACAAAAAGCCATTAAAGACATGAAGAAGAATAATTTTACAATAAAGAATATTTCTTTCTAATTAGAAAAAAATATGGATGATGAAATACATGTTAGAAGTAAAATTAGAAGTGATTATTCTATAGAATTATAATTGTTTTTTTAAAAAATAGATTGAAAGGTTATAGTATTAAAGAATCACACATGTAGTTAATTAGATTGTTTTATTTTGAAGCCCACCTTATTAGTAGGACGTTTGGAATTTAGATATCTTTCTTTTACAACCA